AACCCAGGCATGTGCCCTTGACCGGAATTGAACCCGGGATCCTTTAGTCCGCAGGCCGTCGCTCTATCCATTGGGCAAAACTGGCTAGGGCTCCTTTTGGGGCTTTTCCGGGTTCTGGGAATACCTGAGCCCTGCCCCCAACTCAGCCCAGCTCACAGGTGGCTTCCCCAGCTGCCTCCAGGTTGCCATGGTGTCAGAGGAGGAGGAGGGGCAGATTTCTGAGAAGCAATCACAAAACACACACCAGTGGGCCCCTCCTTGCTCACTCCCTCTCTCCGATGTCAAAGCCATCCATTTGTGCAGCTGGCCCGGGGCCTCTTCCTAGCCCGGAGCAAAGGAGGTCAAGGAGGCAGAGGGTCCAGAGAGTAGGTTTTGGGACCCCAACCTCACCCAGCAGATTTCCTGGACTGGGGCTCCATCGCCCTCCCACAGTTCCCAGACCAGGGCCGCTCTTTCCTGCCTCCCTGCCTTCGCGCATGCAGTTCCCTCCACCTGGAATGCCCTTCCTCAGCCTTCAGGTCCCAGCTGGCTTTAACTCCCCTGGACAATCTTCCCTGAGTTTCTTGGGGCTCCCCCTGCATCCTGCACCCACCGCGGTCACAGCCATTTTATTGATGATGCTTTCACGGGGCGGTGAGGTCTTGGGGATGCTAGCCTTGCCTTTGTACCCCAGCACCTGGCACAGGCAGGTGCTCAGTAAAGCCAGGAGGAAGGAGGGAGGGAGGAGGGGGGAAGGGAGGAGGGGGGAAGGGAAGGGAACAAAAAAACACCTCTCTTAGGATTGGACAGGATCTGGACCGTGAGCACCTGGCACAGGGCTGGGCACGGAGCAAAGCCCACTCCCTTCCTGCCGCCTCCACTTGAGCCTGGGCTCCAGCACCTTCTGCCTCATCCCATTTGGAGCCGGCTCAGGGGTCCTCTCTACACCCACAGGCCTGTGTCTGCTGCCCATTTGGATGCAAGGTAATGACACCAGGGTGCAGATGTGCACTTGACTTCACAAGGAGCTAGTGTGTTTGGGAGAAAGGCCTCCATTCTTGGAAATCTGGGAATGTGCAAACTTGCAAGGGCCTGAGGGATGACCCTTAGCAGGGCACTTCAAAGGGTTTTCACACTGAGTACTTTCTGCACACAAAGCCTTACCTGATGGTCATTATGTAAAACAGATGGAAACTACGCTGCTTGGGGCAAAGTGGTGGGTGTTGAAGGCACTGGGAGATGGGACCAGAGTCCCCTTCCCCCTGTAGCTCTGGATTCTGGGGAGATGGGGGTTGGGGGTTGGTCCTGGTGGTGGGATGGGGCAGCCAGGAGAGTGGGAGAGCCCTGGGGACAGTTCAGTGACTGACAAGTACTAACTGGTACAGAAGGGCTTCTGTATTTTCAGAACTGCGTGTTCATGCCCATGTGGCTGGGCCAACGAACTCATCTTTCACAGCAAGAAGTCAGTCTGTACACACAAAAAAGAAAATATGTCCTTGGAAAAAATCATAATGACTTCAACCTTTAATGTTCTCACAGTATCTTTTTCTTTACTTTTTTTAATCTTGAAGGAATATGTTAGAGGAAGTGTCTCTTATCTATAGGGAATATTTATATGAATTCAGCAATTCCATCAACTTCTCTTTCTTTTGTGAAATTCAAGTGAAATTAAATTGTATCTTAAAAAAATGAAGAAAAAAAAAGAAAACAGAGTTCTCTGGCTCTTCCCATTTTATGAAAAAAAATATACTTTGGAAAGCTCAACTGGTTGTAAGCGTTTCCCATGGACCAGATGCGGCCCACAGGAGAGGCAGAGCTGGCCCTCGGGGCTATGCCAAGTCCCATCCTAGAGGGCCACCTGGCGGTGAGGTAATCAGCAGTGAGAGCTGGGAGATCTGCCAAATGCCTAGGAGCTGCAGGAGCTCTGGGCAGCCAGCCAAGGAGATGTTTGCTGATATTGAGGAACTGTGATCAAAACCTCAGCCAGGGGACGGGGGTCCCCTGAAGAACACCTTCGAGTTTCCCTCATGCTGGATATCAGCAGATCAGAACGGCATCAGTTAGGTAAGAACCTTCCTGCCCCTTCTATCTCCTCCCTCTGCAGCTCCCATCCTGGAACCGGAGGCACCTGGGTGAGTGAAGAAAGAGGAAGAGAAACACCGGGTAGAGAGGATGCTTTTTCTGTCCCCGGTGGGAAAGAGAAGGAAATCCAGTGTTCATGGAAACAGGCCTTACGATTACTGGAATAAGATGGTTTATATAAACAGAAGGAACCAGAGAACTTGTTATTGTCCAAGCTTTACCCTAGAAGTCGATGGCATCTGCCACAGACCTCATCCCAGGGGGAAGGGAAGAGCCGACTCCACAGAGGGAGTGTTAAGAAGCATCCAGGGAAGGAAGAGAGTTGTGTTCTCACTTCATCCTGTGAGTCTTGCCTACTCAACAAGAATGACGGCCAAGATGAACTTCCTGCAGCCTAGTTCCAGGCTGCATGTGTCTGAGCCCCACTTGGCTTTCCCACACTCATCTCCTATTTCACCCCAGACACACCCCTAATCCAACCACAAAGACCCACTGACCAAGCCTTTGGAAGGCACGGGAGGAATTTTCTCAGAGGCAAACCTTTCTACTCTAAGGATCTGGAGTTAACCCAGTAGGTCTGGACTGGTCAGGACCATCAAACTCAACTCCTGTAGGTAGTGTTTATTTGCCATGTGTATCAAGGGATGTCCACTCCCTGATTGGGAAAAAAACCCACAGAGCCCAATGAACAGTGCATTATAGCCAGAGACATTGAGAAAAAGAGCTAAGCCCAGCCTGGCCAGTGTGGCTTCATTGATTGAGCATCGACTCATAAACCAAGAGGTCACCAATTCAATTCCCAGTCTGGGCACATGCCCGGGTTTCCAGCTCTGTCTCCAGTAGGGGGTGTGCAGCAACTAATCGATGATTCTCATCATTGATGTTTTTAATCTCTCTCTTCCCCCCCTCTCTCTAAAATCAATAAAAACATAGTTTAAAATTTTGTTTTTTAAAGAGCTAATCCCAGGCCAGGTGGCTCAGTTGGTTGAAGTGTCATCAGTTGGTTGGAGCACCAAAGGTTGTGGGTTCAATCCTGGTGGGGGGGGGGGGGGCGTCCAGGAGGCAACTCATCAATGTTTTCTCTCACATCAATGCCTCTCTCTCTCTCTCTCTCTCTCTCAAAAAAAAAAAAAAAATCAGTTTTATAAAACATATCCTTGGGTGAGAATTTGAGAGAGAGAGAGAATAATCCTTGGACTTGAGCCAGGCATATAGGGTAGCAAAAAGAGGCTTCAGAATCTCATATTTAAAAAAAAATAGAGAGGAAAGGGAAGTCAAAATGGCTGTGGTCAAGCCAGGGAGGCTGTCCTAGAAAGGGGGAGAAGGGGCAAGTACAAAGGAGTTAAAATTGGGGAGGCTGGGGGAGCAAAAAGACACCACGTATAAACGGAGCTTTTCTGTTGCCAGCAACAATGAGCCTCCCTGTCCTTAGAGTTCAGTGGTCTTCACCATACCCTGATTTCACCGGCACAAATTTTGAAGAACCCAGGGAGAGGACAGGACAACAAAAGGAGTGATTAATCACAGTCCGTCCTCCTGTTCAAGGGCTTGAGGTGAGTTGGAGGCTCAGTAGTCACACAACAATCACTACTTGATGATGCAGTGCTGAGGTCACAAGTGGGACTCCCCTCCCCTCCCCCGGCTTCCTCATTGCTGAGCAGAGGAACCAGAGGGAAAAGCCACCTTCCCAAGCACAGCCATACCATCTACCTCACTCGACTACTTGTCAAGTTCAGTACCAACACAAAGGGGTGAGTTGCATGTACAACTGGAAATGCCCCCCTCGTTTTTATCTCCTTTCCTGGGAGTGACCGACAGCATCCCAGGCAGTAAAAAAGGTTGAGATAGTGGCCATACCCAGGTGCAAGTTTCCTCTCACTTTCAGTAGCAAGTACAGGAAGACACATCATTTGAGAGAGAGATTCTTAACAATATTTGGAGTTCAATTTCATGATCTTTATCTCCGGAGAGCAATACTGATTTGAAGACTAAATTAGATAAAGTGGTACTTTTATATTGTTAAATCAAAGGGTGCCAATTAAATCCAACTTGAAAGTCTTTTCAGAAACTAAAAACCCCTGTTTTATCTAGAAGTCAACGTGTCCGTGGAGGAAGACCCAGCTCAAGGCAAAACTTAAGAAAGGGAAAAGGAATCCCTCCTCACCATTGTGTTTTGTGGTCCTAACATTTATGTTTTCAGAGAAATTAGAATTCTCCAGTTCATCACATCCTCTCTTGATTTCCTCTCTTACCCAAATCACTGTAGGAGGGGTTTCTAGAGTGGTCCAGCCATGGTAGGGATGTAGCCATCTTCCCGTGCCAGCACTTGAGTGAAAAAATCAATTCTCAAGGTTTGGAGGACTTAAGCTGGACCCAGGATTGAAAGAAGTGTCCTGGGTCCAGAAGCCCACTAACTAATATACACACTCATTCCACCTCCAGAGGGATGGGGAGTGGACTTACAGGAGCCTCTTAGCAGTCTGATCAAACTTACAGACTCTTTGGGATGTTTTTATATTAATTGATCTTAAATTAATGTTTTAAAATGCATGACATTACAGGAGATACTGAGTATATTGATAAATACATGGTTAAACACAGTTCTTATGATTTGGGGGCAGGGGGTTCCCAGGACCCTATGTTAAGAACTCCTACTAGGGGCTGTGAAATGGGGACAAAAGTGAAATGAAAGCAAAGAATGGAGAGATCGAGAAACGTGGTCAACAACCCACCAAAACAACAAGAGGACAGCCCTTAAGTGAGAGTTTGGTCTAGAGCAGTGATGGCGAACCTATGACACGCGTGTCAGAGGTGACACGCGAACTCATTTTTTGGGTTGATTTTTCTTTGTTAAATGGCATTGAAACATATAAAACAAATAACAAAAATATAAGTCTTTGTTTTACTATGGTTGCAAAGATCAAAAAATTTCTATATGTGACACGGCACCAGAGTTAAGTGAGGGTTTTTCAAAATGCTGACACACCGAGCTCAAAAGGTTCGCCATCACTGGTCTAGAGCCTGAACACATCTGGGAAAGCTTCCTTAGGAACAGGATGGGCAGGAGGTATGGGAAGGCTGGACTGGTCCCCTCTCACTTTGCAGCGTGGCCTCCCACATACAGTCTGTCACATACTTCCTTGCAGGGCCCGGAAAATCAAGAAAGAATGTCGAGTGATGATAAAAATAAGCCGAGTGATCCGAAGAATGAGCCCAAGAACTGTGACCCAAAATGTGAACCAAAGATTGAGACCAAGTGCCAGCCCAGCTGTTTAAAGAAGCTGCTGCAACGGTGCTCTGAAAAGTGCCCCCGGGAAAAGTGCCCACCACCGCCCAAGTGCCCCCCATGCCCCCCGCCATGTCCCAAGCCATGCCCCCCGCCGTGTCCCAAGCCATGCCCATGCCCACCGCCATGCCCTCCCAAGCCGTGTTCTAAGCCCTGTCCTCCTAAATGCCCGCCTTGCCCACCCCAGTGCCCTCCCCCGGAGTGAGGCACCAAGGGCGTCACCCAGCCCCATACCGCCGTCATCTCCACGTGCTCACCGCCTTGGGGCTGAGAACTGAAACCATGAACTGACAAGTAAACGTGTCCCTCTGCTGTGCAAGACTTGCTTCTCCTGGGGTGTTGGTTTTTCGTGGGGTATTTTTGGCAGTTTTCGATTTATCTGTTGTTTTCCAGCACTAAACCACCAAGAAGCTATCCCTGAGGAGTGAGGCCAAGACCCCGGCCTTCTATGATCAATGACCTTTGAAGACAGTGTCTCCTCTGGCCTTGCCTGCTACATAGAGAAAGAGGGCATCTTCTGAGGGTGCACCCAGGGTACACCTCCCTGTAAGAGCGCAGCCCGAGAGCCATAAAGATGGCTGTTAAAGTGGCTAACTCCAGGGACCAAGTGGGCATGAGGGAGGAAGACAGCATGAGGGTGAAAGAGGAGAGGGATATTAGGAAAGGTCCCGGAAGGCTCAGGAAAAGAATCCTACCTGTTGCTTTGAGACCCATCGCCCGACGCTTGGACGTAGCACTCTAAAACCAGGCTGCGTGGATTTAAAGCCCAGCTCTGCTCTCTCACTACTTTGTGACCGTAAGCAAGTTGCTTAATTTCTCTGAGCCTTAGTTTCCTCCTCTCTGTACAAGTAATGATGATGCTAATAGTGCTAGTGATACAGGATTGCTGTGTGGCTTAAGGAGTTAAAGGCCAAGTGCCTGCTTTACTGGGATATAGCAAGTGCTTAGTTAGGGGAGCACAGTGCACCTGCCCAGGTGTGACACATTGCACCTGAACTTAATTGCACCGCTGGACTTAATTGCCCTGTGCTGCTCTTCACCTGCCTGCAAGCTCTGTTGCAATAGTTAGGTTCTAACTTACACCTGTGAGCATGGCTAGGTCTTCTTTTAAAAAAACAAAACAGGCGTTGTAGATGACATTAATGTCAGTTGGCTGGCTTTGACCCTGAACTACAATTATGTAACAGATTGCCATTGACAAGAGTTCAGTGAATGGTAAAGTGGGATGTCCATTTTTGCAGCCTTCTGTGCATCTATAAAATTTCAAAAGAAAAACTTAAGCACAAAAGAATAGAAAAGAATACATCTGGGAGGACCACTATTAGAAATGAACAGGAAAAACATTCTCAGCGGATATGTCAGTGGGGATTACTTACAGGTAGCTAAAGAGAGTGCACATCAAACAGCTTAATTCACAAAAGGGAATGTCTCATTTCAAGTCCCTGGAAAGGATATTGGGATGGTGTGGGGAGGCATAGAATTAAAGACAGAACTGTAGGTGCCAGGACTTCAGGAGCTTGGACTCACTGCCACCCTTTCAGTCTCCCTCATCTCTCTCCATCAGTCTCCACTCCTTTTCAGGGTGGGTCTCCCCTCCCCCGCCTCGCCCCAGGGCCCCTCGTGTGGGAAGGTCCTTGGCCCAGTGCAGACCCAGCGCGTTGATGGATTGGGCATGAGGAGCTCGTGTTATTTCCAGGAAAAAAAGTGATTGCTAGGAGGGCCTGAGCCACCCTCTGACCATGCGGCAAAGAGCTTTGCCACCATCACAGTCCACAACACTCAAGTGGGAGGAGGGTTAGCATTCTCTGCTGTCACGGTTAAGGGGAAGAGATCAACCGAAGGACTTGTATGCACGCATATAAGCCAAGCCAATGGACATGGACAACAGGGGGATGGGAGCATGAGTGTGCGGTGGGGGGGAAGTTGGGGGTTAATGGGGGGGATGAGGACACATTTGTAATATCTTAACTAATAAAGAATTTAAAAAAAAAAAAAAAAGAAGGGAAACATATTCCATACTGTCAGGCTGGAATTACCCCCCAGGGAGAACTTGCACTCTATAAGAGTAACTCCTGGAATGGAAAATGAAATAAAAGATACTCCATAAAGTCTCCCCCCCCCCAAAAAAAAAAAAGGTAATGGGAGGCCAAATGTGGGCTGGCTCCCTGTGGAGTGGTGGCACATAAACAGCTTTCCTTCCTTCTGAGTCGAAGGTAGTTCAGGACAACAAAGGGTGCAGAGAGTACAAAGTCCAAACTGGGCCCAAGAAAAGACGCCTGCAATCCCCACCAGACCAAGGTCATTGCAGAAGCAGACTTTCAGGACAAATGAGCTGGCAAGGCCTTTAGGGTAACCCCCTCATTTTCCAGATGTGAAAACAGCTAGTTACTTTCTCAGACAGAAGGAGGCCTTGGGGTCTTGGTCTCCTGGCAAGAATGGGAGCCTGGCACCCACACACCAGGGCATGCAGAGAGTGCCTCCTGGACCGGGGGAACCTCGGGAGCCTAGTTTAGGGCATTAGGGGGCCTGTGGTCAACTGTTGATGACAGGTTGAAAATTCTTCTACCCTCATCATCTCTCAAAAAGGAGGAGGGAGAGCCCTGGGCGCTGTGGCTCAGTTGGTTGAGCGTCCTCACATGCTCACATAGAGGTCTCTGGTTTGATTCCCAGTCAAGGTACATGCCCAGGTTGCAGACTACATCCCCAGTAGGGGGCGTGCAGGAGGCAGCCAATCGATGTTTCTCTCTCCCTCTCCTTTCCTCTCTCTCTAAAATCAATAAAAACATATTTTTAAAATATAAAAGAAGGAAGAGAGAAAGGAAAGACATAGAACAATGTGATGTCCTCCATCTATTTAAAGATCACTTTTAAATAACAAAGCCCACAGTCTAGTGCTAAAGAGTATTGGTGAGAGTGCAAATAGACAAAAAATCCTTTTAGGAAAGAATTTGAGGAACATGGGAATAAGAATGAAAAGGATAAAATGATTCAACTTTTCGGCCCAATTGTTCCATGTCTTGAAATCTATGTAAAGAAATCAAGTTCCGAATGGTGGGGAGAGGTTATATAAAGCTGATTATCAGTGTGACAGAAAAATTTAAATATCTAACAGGGATCTGATTAAATTTGGACTATTACTTGATAGAATATTACATGATCACTAAAATGTATAGTGTAAAGCAACTATGTTTAACCAAATACTTCTATAAATAACAATAATAATAATAGAAAAAAATTGTCAACATTCTAGTTATTTTAGGACAACGGAATTATGGGTAACTAGTGGAATATGTTTATTTTTTCACTGGTCTCTGGCTTTCCATTAATAGGTTATTTTGTAAAAGCAAAAAAATAATATAATTATGTAGACTTGAGAAACCCCCAAAGTCCTTTCATTTGCTCAAAGAACAAAAAAAAGGGTGGGGTAAGGAGGAAGAATGTCTTCTCACACCTGAACACAACATGTAGAAGATGCCCTCACCTTGGGTACCTTCCTTGGAGATGTGGGAGCTCACTCACTCCCAGGCCTCCCAGTGGCTCCATGGCAGTGTCAGGCAGGGGCTGGTGCCCTCCCAGGTCACTCTGAGGACTCCTGACACAGACTGGGTGGCAGCCAGCCCTGAGAACATGAAACCATCCATTTGCCAATGTATTTTCTTTTCTCCCATGTAAATGAAACCACAGATACACATCTCTTAATGGCTACTTTCCCAGCAAAAGCTGGATCAAAGGCAATTCTGGGGAAGATGGCTAGAACGTGATGAGTGTGCCACCTCCCTGCAGAATGCCATAATTACTCCCAGCCCCAGCGGCAGTCCCGTCCAGCCCCTGCCCCAAGTGGAAGAGGGATGTATAAGTACATACGCAGGGCCTGAGGAGTGGCAGCTGGGAACCTGCAGTGCCAGGCTTGAGGGCTCACAGGTATTGTGATGGGCGGCACCAAACCCTCTCCTTTCATGGAAAAGCTGTTCTGAGGGTCATTAGGATGGTGATGAGAGGAGACTCCACCACAGACCCCTTGCATTGTGCTTTCTTGAGAATTGCAAAAGGACTCCTAAGTCCCCCCAAACCAGGCCAGCTGGGCGACTGGCTGTGAGGTGGGCCAGTGCTATGAAAGGGCTGCCCAGAACCACACAGATGTCTCAGGAAACCAGGAACTGGAGAGGTCATTTTCATGCATCCCCCACCCCCACATGCAAATGACAACTGGAGAGCTATCAGGAAGGAACCAGTGACCAATCCTGTCTTGTTTTCCTGTCCTGCTTCCACAGGGCCAGACCTAGCTACACAGCTGCTACATTGGACTGCAAGCTCTTTGGTAACAAAGCCTGCCTAGCACAGCAGACATTCAATAATAATAAATGAGTGAATGCTCAGCGGCTTTGGAGGCACTTTTCCAAGAGCCTTCTCCACTTTGCTCCTTACCCTCACCACTTGGTGTCATTCCCAGAACTGGGAGGTGGGGGGAGGATGAACAGGCTGAACATGGGTGGCCGGGGGCTGACAGAAAGGCATCCCTGACCTTGGTCACTTTCCCCCTAGGCCACAAGGTGCAGATCCTTCCTGTTCTTTCTCTGGCCTCACCTGGGAAGTGCAGCCTGGAGTCTCTCTCTCTCTCTCTCTCTCTCTCTCTCTCTCTCTCTCTCTCTCTCTCTTAAATCTAATATATTTCAGATAAACCAGATATAACAAAGTAAGAGAACAAAGCTATACACATAATACAAATTTAGAAGAATGTTGGTTTTTTGTTTTGTTTTTTTTAATCCTCATCCAAGGACATGTTTATTGATTTTAAAAGAGGAAAGAGGAGAGGAAAGGAGAGGAGAGGAGAGGAGAGGAGAGGAGAGGAGAGAAGAGGAGAGGAGAGGAGAGGAGAGGAGAGGAGAGGAGAGGAGAGGAGAGGAGGAGAGGAGAGGAGAGGGAGAGGAGAGGAGAGGAGAGGAGAGGAGAGGAGAGGAGAGAGAGAGGAGAGCGGAGAGGGGGGGGAGAGGGAGAGGGAGGAGAGGAGAAGGAGAGGAGAGGAGAGGGAGAGGGAGGGAGAGGAGAGAGGGAGGAGGGAGGGGACGGAGGGAGGGAGGGGAGGGAGGGATGGGGAGGGGAGGGGGAGGAAGAGGGAGGGAGGGGGAGGAGAGGAGAGGAGAGGGGAAGGGAGGGGAGGGGAGGGGAGGGGAGGGAGAAAGAAAGAGAGAAACATAAATTTGAAAGAAAAACATTGACTGGTTGCTTTTTGTATGTGCCCCAACTGGGGACCAAACCCACAGCCTAGGTGTGTTCCCTGACTAGGAATCAAACCTATGATCTTTTGGTGTACAGGGTGATGCTCCAACCAACTGAGCCACACTGGCCAGGCTCTGAAGGCCATCCCCTCAATCTCATTCCCAGGCTGGGCCCCCAGGAAACCACAATCACAGTAGGAGACAAGGGGACTTGCGCATCGATGAATATGAGAGCCAGAAGTGGCATTTAAGAGACCTTAGTGTCTAGGTGAGGAAACTAAACTCCAGAGAGGGAAACAACTCAACCAAAGCCGCCATGATTTCTAACTGTGTCTAGGATTTCTAACTTTGATTAAGGCCAAGATGAACTAGCACCCAATGCAAAAGGGAATAGGATTAAAGACCAACATCAGATCTAAATAATTTGGGAACATCATTTGGCCCCATGCTTTGTCGGTGGTCTTTAGCATGGGGGTCATGACCCCCCTCCCAAAGGTAAAGGTGTGTACATATGTATATTTTCTTATCATCCCAAAACTATTAGGATCCATTGACTAGTCTGCATCTTTGTCACCTCCTTGAAGTTTATAAAGAAGCTCCCAAATGTTTTCAAATAGACCATTGCCTAGTCTAGACACCAGTTCACCGATTTGAGAACTCACCTTGGGTACCTTCCTGTGAATGCCTTGATGGCCCGAAGTGCTGATGCATATGTTCTCTAATTTATTATTCACAATAAAACTGTGAAACAGTGTTACTCCTCAATAAGAGGATATTGAAGCTGTGAGAGACTAAGGCTCTTGGAAGGTTGTAGACCTCACATGATCTTGAACAAGGCCCTTAACACATTTGCACCTACCTCTACTCACCTAAAAAAAATGCAGCCAATTAATAACTTTGTGCCTCCTGTTAAAGCATGAGCACGTGCTGGACTAAAACAAGGAGGTAGAATCAGGTGTCCTCTCAAGTCCCCTCTGGGTCCAGTGTCCTGGGATCCACAGCCCCTCCCACAAACCCTGACTCAGACTCTCTCTGTGGGTGATGCAGGAGGAACGGAGGTGAGAGGAGTGGTGGACTCTCCCCCAGGAACCCACAAGCTCAGGAGGCACCTGATCCCCAGGAAACGGGATGAGCCACATTCTGCACCATTTAGCTTTATCGGAGCCCTGGCTCTATAATATGCAGACATTGCCAGCCCAGTGAATCAGAGGAGTCTGGGAACTTTTATGATCTGGACAAAGGAGATAATTATTTGATGGGAATGGAAAAAAAAAAAAAAGCAGCGATGTCCTGCACACAGCTGACTCTCTTCTGCTGACCCTGTGTAATTACACCCTGGCTCCCATAATGACAGCTGCAGAAATCTACAATCTTAACTCTCAGGTGACTTTATATCAGATTAGCCCCAATCTTGCTGAAGGGCTATGGATGGTTAGAGAAACTACTTAGTCACCTTATCTTAAGATGTGGGGTGGGACAAACTCCCCACAGCTATCCAAGTCACAGGTCCCGATACTAGGCCACTAGGTTTGATTTTCAAGGGCTCAGACCCCAAACACTCCCACTCTGCACCTAGGAAAAATTAGGTCACCTAAAGTCATTCAGCCAACTGGCTGGGCCACTGCCACACACAGAAGACAGAAGACTGGGTCTTCTTGTGGGTGGATTGTAACAATCAAGGAGGAAGACATCCCTACACAAGCATCTATACATTTACAAAGTCATAGAGATACCCCAGCTCATCATTCGTGATCACCTTTATAGTATCACAGAATGTCAAAGCTGGAATGGATCTGGCTGATTGCTAGTCTAACTATTCCTAGTCTTTCCTATTTTAAAGATGATAAAAGTAAGGCCAGAGAGGATCAGGGACTTACCTGAGCGTGCACATCTTTAGTATATTGTCTACTGCATCACAGTGAATAAAAAAGTTTAAGTTGGAGAATGAGTGCTGGGGGGACAGAGTGAAGAAACTGGAACCAGCAGAACTGGGGGAAATCAGGGATGCCTCATGAAGAAGGTGAGTCCTGAACAGGTTCAGATTGTACTGCGTCCTGTGAGCACCTTGATGGCCCAAAGTGTTGGTGCCTATGTTCTCTAATTTATTCCTCACAATAAATCTGTGAAACTGTGTTACTCCTTCTCAACAAGGGGAATTTGAAGCTATGAGAGACTAAGTAACTTACCCAATATTACACATGCTCTACATGCAATAGGTCAGTGGGATCCTGAGTCCAGCTCCTTTTCCATGCATTACCGAAAGCTAGTCTTTGGCCGAGGGGATGACACGATAAGCAAGTATATACTTAAATGAAGGAGCACTAACCTGAAATTTTACTTCATCTGACACTTCCCTCCTCCGGAGTTCCCAAGAGCTTCAGACATTGGGAAGGTGTATTAATTTTCTGCTGCTGCTCTAACAAGTTACCACAACTTTAATGACTTAAAGCAATAGAAATTTATTGTCTTATAGTTCTGGAAGTCAGACGTCTGACATAGATCTCTCTGGGCTAAAATCAAAATGCCAACAAAGCTGTATTTCCTTCTGGAGGCTCTGGGGAACACTCTGTTTCCTTGCCTTTTGCAGCTTCTAGAGATTGTCCACATTTCTGGCTTGGGGTGTCCTTCCCTCTTCAAAACCATCAATGGCCTATGAAGGCTTCACTCTGACCTTGGCCTGACTCTTTTGTCTCCTTTTCCGTGTTGAAGGATCTTTGATTTTACATGGGCCCACTTCAATGTAATCATCTCAATGTCAGGCAGAGTCCTCTGAGAACAGCTGAACTCTGGGCTCTTCTGGACTGTGTTCACTCCCTCCATGAGAGCATGACCTGGTGTCGCCAGTGTTCTGCACATCCTTATTTGGTCTCCTTCTTCTTAGGCTCAACCAAAGACACAGAAATGCATGTGGCATGAGCAAGATCATCTCATGCATCTCATCAGAAACCTAAAGATCTCAATCAATCTCCTTCTCTAATCGCTCGTGCACCCCTTTCCTGAATCAGCCTCAGGCTCTCCTCTCAACCCAGGCAAGGAGGGTGAAATACCCTTGCCCACCCTCTTGGCCTGGGTAATTCCCACTGTCCAGTAAAACACAGCACAGACATGTCCCCCAGGAGATTATAAAAACCTTCCACCCAAGACTAATAAAAGGATCTTTGTCTAGGACCTCCATTTTGGCCTCTGGGTCCTGAGCAGAACTCAAAATGGAGGCCTAGACAGGGCTTACCTCTGTCTATCTTCTCAATGAGACTCTCAACCCCTTGAAAGCAGGGCTATGAATGATTGAAATAATAAATGAATAAACCTAGTGTTGGAGAATTTCTTGCCTCCTTAATCTCTGGAGAATTGCTTTGTCTCATAGACAACATTCCACAGAAAAAAAATGGAATAATTGAAGAGGAAAGAGATAAAAAAAAAAAAAAAAGGAGGGGAGGAGAGTCCCCTCTTCTACACCCATTCCCAGATTCCCCAAATGCCCTTGTCTCTTCAGATTCACCTATGAGTCTTCCAAATTTGTCTTTCATCGCATGTAGCCCCACTCCTGCCCCAGCCTCCAGAAAATCAAGTCCCTCACAGTAACACCAGCATGACTCCTCTAGGTCAGCCCCTCTCCACACAGGCATCTGATTCTTACCAAGACACAAAGGGCTCATATTGAGACTATCAGCCAAAAGTTTACCTGGTCTTCCTCAACTCACCTTTTTAAAACTTTTTAAGGACCAAGCATCCAAAAACTGTATAAGCCTTTGAAGCAATTTCTGATTTTAGCCAATTATCTCTCTTAAGAAATGATCTAAACAGACTTCTTCAAGTTATGGGGACCATCATCATCTTTAAAGTCCCTAGAATTTAGTCAACTATAGCAAACAAGCTCAAGGCCACCACTTATGGTCTAAAGATTTATTTCATACTGAATCCTTTCCCATTTTGTATTACATGGGATCTTCCTCTACTCCCAGTTGTCTCCTACATCCACCTTTTTTATTCCTTAATCAATGCAGTTACTCCATCAATAATCATTTGTCTTCTATGTTCTATATCTATGGCACAGCCCCTACCCTTCTGGAGCCTACAACCCAGGATAGTGATAAGATTCTGTACATAAGTAACTGGAATTCCTAATAACAATAGTAAATGTTATATAAATAGCAGAGATAATAGATACTATGGAAGTTCAGAAAGGGGTGAACTCATTTCTGGCTTAGAGTAACCAGGAAAAGCTCTTGGAAGGTTGTAGACTTCAACAAATACTTTGGATTTCAACAGACACAGAGAGGGAGGGCACACGAGATAGAAGTGACAGCTCAAACAGAAACTTCTCAGTAGGGAAAACTGGGTGTGTTTGCTTTGAAACTTTTCCTTTCATCCTCCTGGCTTTTATTGTAGTCTAAGCAAAGGTTTTCCAGAAGGCAAGGAGGCAGACCAACCTTGTTCTATCCTGTTTTCTTGGTCACTATGAAACCTCGGTAATGCCAGTTTTAGAAATGTCATAAATCAAGGTTGAGAAGATGAAGATTACCTGCCTTTTCCCTCCTCTCCCTTCTCCTCCACCTTACTTCACACCCAAGAGCAACAAATGACTCCAATTTTCCTCAAGACCTCTGTGCAAGAAAATCATTCTCTCTAGGACAGTGGTCGGCAAACTCATTAGTCAACAGAGCCAAATATCAACAGTACAACGATTGAAATTTTTTTTGAGAGCCAAATTTTTTTTTCTTTTTCTTTTTTTTTTATTGCTTAAAGTATTACAAAGGGTATTACATATGTGTCCATTTTATCCCCCCGCCCTGGACAGTCCCCTAGCCTCCCCTATCCCCCAATGTCTTATGTCCACTGGTTATGCTTCTATGCATGCATACAAGTCCTTTAGTTGATCTCTTACCCCCCTACCTCCTGCCCCGCAACCCTCCCCGGCCTTCCTGCTGCAGTTTGACAATCTGTTTGAGGCAGCTCTGCCTCTGTATCTATTATTGTTCAAAAGTTTATAATGGTCTCTATTATCCATGAATGAGTGAGATCATGTGGTATTTTTCCTTCATTGACTGGCTTATTTCACTTAGCATAATGCTTGAGAGCCAAATTTTTTAAACTTAAACTATATAGGTAGGTACATTGTTATTAACTTAATCAGGGTACTCCTAAGCTGGCCTTTGCTAAAAACGTCCTCAATCTGATTGAGGTACGTTCGCTGAGGTCGACCCCTTCCAGCTCTCCCATCCACACTCGTCTTGTATACTTGTTTCGTCTATCTCCTTTCCGAAAACTGACTTCTGCGCATGGGCCACGAAGTTGCAATCGGACTGTACGTGCGTGCCCGCACGTGGTATTTGGTGGAAGAGCCACACTCAAGGGGCCAAAGAGCTGCATGTGGCTCGCGAGCCGCAGTTTGCCGACCACTGCTCTAGGAGGCTGTGGGTCCTTTGTAAGCTTGGGGCCCTGGGACAATCTGCCTTCCTTGGGTCTGAAAGTGTGACTTTCCAGGCTCAGTGAAGACACATTCATTCTGAAAGAGACCATACGTGCCCTTGACCCAGACAGACCCCAGGCCTTAGGCATAAAGTCTTCCCACAGGTGAAGACAAGATGAGCAAGGTGGATCTTATCTCTCACCACATCCTGAACCAGTTTGGGCTGACCGAGATAACGTTTTATGAACATTCTTTTGCTGCTGCTTCTAATGAAAGATCTGAGAGGAGCCCCTCCCTGCTGAGGTCTGCTCAGGACCCAGAGGCCAAAATGGAGGCTGATTAACCGGCATCCCAAGCAGTGACTCAAACTATGGGCAGTTTCAGAGGAAGCTCGTTATGGTGACTGCACAATTAGGACCTCAGCCCACGTGGCCAGTCATGCCCGTGGAAGGCTGGACCAAGCACTATATAAAAGTCCCTATCTGGCCGGACTCTGTAGTTCACATTCTTTGTTGAGTCTTGTTGAAGATCAGGTAAGTGGGGGCATCTGTGCCCTCTCTCTCTAGCTGCTCTGTCTCTGGGAGGCTGTTCTCTTGCTGTCGTGTATTTTCTACTGATTTTTGAAATGGTTGACCATTTCTTGGGCCTCTCAAACCATCCTGTATATTTTATCTAGTCTCTTGCACCTGGTTTTCAATAAGATTCGTCTAATAGAAGAGGAGAAAAAAGGCTGGGAGTTTGGGTAGGACTGGGCTATTGATATCCAGACAAGAGCTATGAGAATATTCCTACCTAGGAGATGGGCATCAAAGGGAGCTGAAGTCGCGATAGAAAAGGATAAAAGGGAAATGAGTTCTTGGGGTTAACAATACATCATTTCCTGTTTCCTTCTATCAACCCTTCATTTCTCAGTCCCAGCCTGGTACTGTTAATACAGATAATTTTAAATTCTGTGTTTGTTTCAGGTTCTGCAAATTGCCCCAAGATGTCCTTTAATGAGCAGCAGTGCAAGCAGCCATGTGTGCCTCCTCCATGTCTTCAAAAGACCCAAGAGCAGTGCCAGGCAAAGGCTGAGGAGGTGTGCCTCCCCCCATGCCAGGACACCTGCCAAGAGAAGTGTGCAGTGCAAGCTCAGGAGGTGTGTCTTCCTCAGTGCCAGGAGTTAAACCTAGAAAACTGCCCACAGCAATGCCAAGATCCATGCCTACCTCCATGCCAAGACCAATGCCCACCTCAGTGTGTGGAGCCATGCCAAGAGATATCTCAGGCAAAATGTGTGGAGGTTTGCCCACAAAAAATCCAGGAGAAGTGCTTACCCCCTGGCAAGGGAAAGTAGCTGCTTTTATAATGCTGTCGAGGGTCAAGAAGATGGCCAACAGATGAAGACCCAATCCCAACTTACGCTATGGTGACCTTCTCCTGTGGGTACCTCTGTGTGCACCTGTTCTCGTCTCCTGGCTTTTTCAGTATTCCAGGACTTGGTCTGTGTCTCTAAAGACAGTTCTCTCTGTATTTCATCAACCTCTGTGAATAAGTCTTTTTTTCCCCAGCAGTTTAGTAGAAGGGCTCAAATATAGGAATAGTGTGCCTGTCAGGGGAGACCACAGAAGCCTACTTCAGCTCTGTTGGGGCAAAAGTTCCCCCAGCCCTGAGTGTGTAAGAGCCAAGGATGCCTGCATTCACTTTTAGAGCATCAGCCTCTCACTGGAGCCTCAAAACAAACTGAATTTGATGGACTGTGTCCTTGAATACCACCATCCAGGGTGTGGAGAAGAGGTTGGTGGCATTTCAAAATCAAAAACTGGGTAATTTATTCACTGCATTATTCTAAAAAAGAACAGCAAATAATTGGATGTTGGAATGTTGGTTGTGTTTTTTTAAAAAAATGGAACATGTATTTAATGGTTGAACTCAAACAGTCAATAAGGAAATGCGAGATGGGACGTTTGGAGTCCTGGTTAACATTCGTGCTTCATGGCTGGCCTGCTTTGGGCCCTTGATTTCCACCATGTACATTCTTTACTGACGTGATATGTGTCTGTGTGATGCAGGCTGGTCTGCTCTCCAGCTACTTTGCCTTCTTCTCCCTGGTGAAGGTAAAATACAGAATAAAGCTGACCCTATGCTGATATCTGACCTGTGTGCTCTTTGCTCTTTCCTCCCCACCACACAAATTCCACATTCCTGCTGTCCTTGTGATGATATGTTCTCCTCCTCCTCCTCCTTCTTCTTTTGAGAATCTGGAGTAGGAATAAAAAACAGACCTCACAGCAAGGCTGAAAGAGGCCTCCTTTAGGGGCACCTGGACCACTCACCCCCACCTACAACCTTCATAAGCTCACTCATGCACACAATTTACACTTGAGAAAATCCAGCAGGGTCTGGGACCTGCTCACACTCCCAAATTCAGGTCTAGGAGTCTTTCCAATACAGCCTACCTCTCCTCTGGTCTTTATTTTCAAGAGAAAAGGGCCAAAATGGGGTGAGTGGGGAGTTGTATAGGAGAACAGGTCCCCAGTCAATCCGTGACACCTCCAAACATAGCATCCCTGTCAGAAGTAAGGACTAAGTGTACCTCTGAGATGAACGTAGACTGGGGACCAAAATTGTCTGCCTGGCCATCTGACCAGATTTTAGGAAAGCCAGGCAGCCTGGTTCCCCACCCTCCACCCTGTTGCCCACCAGGCTGGGGGCCCTGGGGTTGTGTGAAAGCACAGAGGAGGGGCAAGACTCACAGGAAAGGACCAATGCTAACTTCCTCCACTGTGCCCTGGCCCCAAAGGTTTATGTCAAGGGCCAGCCTCCTGAGGGGTGACGGGACTTCCATTCATTCTCCTGGGTCCCTCTTCCCACTCTGGGTGTGCCCCAGTGGAGGACTGTTTGGCTAACGTGTGGGCCATCCCGCACCGGGAGTGCCCGAGTCTCTCAATCTTGGATATTTCCAAGGTGAGAGAGAGACAGAACCGGGGGATGATGTGGGGGAAGATCTCAAGTGGAGACAGGGAGCCCTCGGGCACTCGCAGAGCCTGCAGATGGCCAGTGCCAGGCCCTGAGCTCCATGCACATTCCAAGGGAATCCTGACGGCAGCCGCCGCGGTTGATATGCTGCCCCTTTGCTAAGGACCGGGCCTGGCCTCACACAGCCGGTAAGTGGTGACGTCAGGATTCTAACTGGCATCCCCCTGGACTCTAGCACGAGCTCTAACTCGCATGAGGAAGTGCCCGTGGCACAGAGGAAAGATTGCCAGACACTGTCTTTTCTCGGTCATTCATTTACCACCTCACAAGTGGTCACTGGTCATCTATCAAGTACCAGGCACTGCACCGGGTGCTGAGAGAGAGCAGTGAACCCGGCAGGCAGGGTCCGTGCACAGAGCGAGAGAGAGCTTCCTCCCACAGGCCACACCAAACCTCTCCTACAGCTCTTGTACGTCTCAAGTCCCTGAGCTTCTCCAGGGGCGACGATCACAGTTCTCTGGCCTCCCTATTTGGAATGTTTTCCATTTTCCCACTTTGGAATAAGCCAGCTGCACCCCAGGGCCTCAGCCTGCAAAGGAGCCCCAGAGAGCCTTCCTAGCAGCGCAGTTTCTGACGGGGCTGAGGGAGGCTCACGGACACGTCTCCATCTTGGCTCAAGCCCAAGAAATGGCTTTGTTCTCAGCACTGAAGACGTGCACAGATCGGAGTCTAAGATCAGACACTGAGATACTGAGAGGAAGCATGGGGCTGGCGAGCAGGAGGAGTTCAGCCACATCAGAGAAAGATCAACCCACGATTGAAAGGGAGGCCTCTGCCAAGGGGAAGGAGACAAACCTGCAGATTACAGATAGGGGGACAGACGTCAAGGAGCCAGCAGGCCTTCGAGCTCTGTCCTGGGAACCGCCACGCTTTCCTGGAGCTCAGAGGGCTCTGACCCAGCCCCTGCCTGCACTGCTGCGCCTGGAGCCAGGGCCCTAATGACACAGACTGGGCCATGGGGACAGCGAGGACCAAGCACACAGCTGCCAGACTTGTGTGTGTCTATGCTGAAGCCTTTCAGAAAGAGGGAGAAGGGCATTGCCAAAAAGAATGCTAGAAGTTAGAAGTTATAGTTGACAATTATTAAACACACACACACACACACACACACACACACACAATGGGGGAAATTGAGGGAGATGGCACTAAGATCTGCGCTGGTGACAGGAGCTGTCTTTGGAGGTGCCATGTCCCATGAACTGGAGGTACGCAACTAGGGGGGGGCAACAAATAGTGTGAACTCTAAGGTCCCTTCCAACCTCTCTGGCACTGAGATGCAGCTTACTCATCTAACTCTCCTTGGCGGGATTGGGAGCCAGGGACAGAGGAGCCTAATAGGACAGGGAGATTCAGAAGACCTGACCTTGAGGTCAGGAGACAGAGAAAATTATTGTGGCCTCTAGAGCATTCCTGGGAGGCCCTGTGGGGGACCAAACTCTTGGGGCCTAGCAGAGTATAGACCACAGCTTGAAGCTAAAGGAGGGGAGGAGGGCAGGGAAGTCATGGGAAGTAGCTTCCCAAATTTGAGAGTTTTGATATGTTTTTTAGGCCTAAACACTTGAACTCTGAGTAGCACTTTACAGGAATTCCTCATGCCTTCCAAATCCAACCTTCCCAGTCAGGGATTAGCACATGTTTCTCCCCTTTGTTCTTTGTGTCTTTGCCTTTGGACTTACTTTCTCTCCTGGGCTAGAGTGGTTTATCTGTTCCATGTGCTTGGACACCTGACAACCTATCACCATCTCCTTTCTACCTGCACCTGCCTCTCTCCAACCCAGGATTCTCCCCCTGCTTATGTCTGCCAACCCATAGGTTTCAGACTCACCTCCTCTGGGAAGCCTTCCATGATGTCAAGTCCATTTTCTAAGGGCACTTCAACCTAGCCTCCATGATGCTGCACTGGTCCCTAGGAGTCTGTGGCCCCCTTGGAGCTACTTATATGTGAATAATCTGGGTCTCCTGCCAGCATGAGAACCCCAGATGACAACCTTGGGGCCTTGCTGGGCTCTTTGCCTGTCTTCAGGGGACCAACCACTGAGTCTTAGACACTCTCAGAATTGGCCAACCAGCATGCCCTCTGAGGCAAAGACTAAGGAGGCTTCTTCTACTGATGGGGTTGTCAACCTTCCTGGTTCACCTGGGACTAAGGGAGTTTCCAGGATGCAGGACTTTGTTTTTAATCTTCACCCTAGGATATGTTTTTTTGATTTTAGAGAGAGAGGAAGGGAGAGAGAGAGAGAAACGTTGATGTGAGACAGAAACTCCATTGATTGGTTGCCTCGAGTACGCGCCCTGACTGGGAACCGAACCCACAACCATTTTGGTGCACAGGATGACACTCCAACCAGCTGAGCCACCTGGCCGGGGTGATGCAGGACTTTTGATGCTAACATTGGGACAGTCCCAGGCACCCAGAACAAGGTAGTCATCCTAAGTGGGTACCCGTGTGTATAGTCATGATGCTTGGTGCTGTGGGAGCAGAGGGAAAGCAGATGAGGCTCTCACGCTGGAGGAATCTGTAGCCCAGGTTGGAAGAAGAAGAACTTCCTGGAAAACTGTGAGCCCAGAAGGCTTAGTGCCCACTGCCTGCTCCCCTCCACAGCCCCAGTGGTGTGTGTGTGTGTGTGTGTGTGTGTGTGTGTGTGTGTGTGTGCTGGGTCGGGGACAGTAGATCAATAGGCAAGTGCCCAGGCTAGCCCTGAATAAGCATTAACTGGCAGGTCCTGGCCCAGAGTATAGTGGGGATATCCCCATGTCCTCCCACTCTATCCCACTGCCATCACTAGCCTCAGAACACCTAGCCAATGGTCGGCAAATTCATTAGTTAACAGAGCCAAATATCAACAGTACGACGATTGAAATTTCTTTTGAGAGCCAAATTTTTCAAACTTAAACTGTATAGGTAGGTACATTGTTATTAACTTAATTAGGGTACTCCTAAGGCTTAGGAAGAGCCACACTCAAGGGGCCAAAGAGCCGCAGTTTGCCTGCCACGGGGCCCTAGGCCAATAGACAACAGATCTAGACTCACCCACTCCTGCTCTTCCTTTTCTCCCACAGACAGGAGATGGCTGGAAGAGGCAGGCGGACTGGCAGGGCCATCTAACCTCAAGCTGTCCACCTCCCCAACCCCGCAGTCTCAAAACCACCATGCCCTCCAGTAGATGGTGCTGTTGGGTGAAGCTGCCCAACAGCACCATCTACTGGCCATAGAGGCATTGAGCCTTCCGTGGGCAGCCCAATAGTGAGCTCACCATCACTGAAAGTATGCAAGAAGAGGCCAAATGACTAGCCAAGGTTATAGGCAGTTTGGACTGGATTTTCTTTTAACCTTTGAAGTTCCACCCACCCTTGCACTTGAATTACTTACAGGTTGCTCTGAATGTAGTGAAAAGAGCCTTTGCCAGACAATCACTGAGAGACATCTGCCCCAGAGCACTGGGACCACAAACACACCATGTCAAGGCAGATAACTGGGTGTTGGGATACACAACAAGATACCTTCTTGTTGTGTATCCCAATCCTGGCCCAAGAAGAGAAATGAAAGTCCTCACTTCGCCCCTGTTTTTAACCTACCTGGATTGTACAGGAGGGTCAAAAACTTGGAGAGAGGCTACACCATTACTTAAATATTTACAATGCTTGATGGTTTGCTGGGACTCTAACAGTGTTTGCTTGAATGTTTTTAGAGGGGCACAACGTAAAGACTAGGGAAACGGCCTGAAACCACCTCAGAGCTATTGAAGCTGCTTAAGGACCCTCAGGAGTTGACTCCAGTGGGAATGTTTCTCATTATACCCTCATTTTAATACTGAAACCTCCAACCCAAGGTGGACTTTATTCTCCACTTTCTGTGCCTGCAATGTAGGTATAGTGGTGTTCGTATATTTCATGTGCTCACCGCAAAACCTACCTCAACATGCTATGATGCCGGCAGCTAGCCCTACAAAACCCAAAAGAGCAGGTTGGACACATGGCGACTGGGGGAGAGTGGTGTGCTAGAAGTGAGCGTGGAAGCTCCCGCCCTTTCCCCACACATTGCCCTATACACCTCTTCCATCTGGATGTTCCTGAGTTATATCCTTTCATAATAAACCAGTAAACTTAGGAAGTAAAAT